CGCTAAAATAACTAGAAAAACAACAAGTAAGATACTTTTTGTTCACAACCTTTTCCACACCCACAAAAAATATCCCACTTCAAAAAAATCTGAACTATGACTTTAAATGTCTCCTCAGAACTCAATAAAACCAGCCCTAATTTCAACGTGCTAATGGAAAGTAGGACATTGGCTGTTTTCGTTCAGCRATCCGTCATGCATTCCCCCAAAATCAACATGAGGAAGTTACACTCGTCCTCCCCCTGAAAACAAACCGTGTTGGGCAGTCGTCTGGCAGCTTGTTGCTGTGTCTCTGCTTTCAGTTATTATTTAGCTTGTGGTGGCCTGACCCAGTTAAGTTTCTTATTAGCTGCAGACTGAAAGGCACAGTCCTGGACAGTAAATCCTTCCTGTGGGATGAAAATGGAGTATCTCTCAGCGGGAGTTACGYTCTGACCCTGTCTGGGGCCTCAAGAATTTGCTCCCGACATAAGCCCAACWCGGGGGTACCTGAAGAATGTAGTCCAGACTAAGTGGAGCTAAACTGACATCGCTGTGAGATGTTCGGTCTGTGCGCAGGAACATTCGAAGACGGGTTTTGGAGTGTTTCCCAGAGTTTTTAAACGCTGATGTAACGCAGCTCTGCAGAGGCGTCGATCATGTCAGAGCAGCCATGTTTCGGGGGTCAGTTCCTTTACCCGTTTGTAACGGCACCAGGAAGGTGGGAAGTGGTGGGAACAATGAACATGCAGGCTTCCTCCCTGGCTGCCAAGGACCAGAGAAACAGATAACAGTGACAAGGAAAAGGCTTTCATACCCCTCCAGCACAGCAGTGCAAGTGCCGTTCTCTGAATTTGCTGTGATTTATGTGCAGTTCTGTGTAAGCTTATCACACTCAGTTTGTCATTTAGGCTAAATGTCATTACAGACCTCCATTCCCAGCAATAAGTCACTGCCAAAACCAGACCAGCAATGATTAGTTGTGGTTGGAGTCATGTCAAGAACTAAAGCTACAACTTATTGAAATGTTGTACAACTTTTTGCCAAATGGGATGGAAAGCCAACAAGCTGTCTGTGAATAATGTTACTATTGCATCCTAGAATATTAGCCCCTCTTAGTAAAAATCTGGTAATATGTAGGTTAGGGATCCTCAAGTTTGATTAGAGTACTAACCACCTTCCTTTCATGCCAGAACTGTAGACTAAGATCATCTTACTGGTATGTTAAAAAATGACAGTTCTAGCTGTTTGGGCCAAGCCTTGAAAATAATGTTATTGCCAGTTGAATGCAATATGCCAAGATGTCTTAT